ACACCACTGTCATGTCTGTCTGATAAAGTTCAACATCAGAACTATTACTTACTTGTTCCTAACAATAACACAATTTTACAAACCTTTATATATTTAGAGATCTGAGGTAGTGACGTCAAGAAAAATGGCCAAAACCTCACCGAAAGAAACAACCTACAATGTGTTAACTATTAAGTTTTAAAGATGTTGGCAGGGAGATGTATTTTTTACTCTCAGACGGCTACGCTCGCTGTTTTGACCTGCTTTTAGTTTTGCTAATAAGCTAAACAACCTGCTCCTGGGTTTACTTTCACACTCCCTGCAGATTCATTTATTCAGTTTTGATGCTGAAAATCCTTTTCGGTGCGCAACTAAAACACCATTTTCATGTGAGTCTCATAAACACACATTTGTAAACTGACTGCCCTTATCTGAGAGCCAGCGATGATGCAACTTGATCGATTAAGCAAAAAATAAAATTGCACGGGAACTGCATTAAAATCTACAAAAACAGAATCTTTCAAACAATTTTCTAATCTCTGCAATTACCGGGGGGAGTGAGATATTTTCCAGTCTGACTTATCATTCAGCATCTTGCTGTTTTCAGACACACCACTAAGGATGCTGGATGTCAGCTCTCACGTTACTTTGTGTGTTTCTCATTTATTTCAAGCGGTTTCCTTTCAGTTCAGTGCAAACGCATCCACAGCCTAAGTCCCTCCTCATTGAGGCAGAAGTTATCTGCTGAGCACCTTGACTCCTGCTGCTTTTGTGAGACAACAAACGAATCGCGGATTATGTGCGTCCACTTCCTTGCAGGGCTTCGCGTGTCGTCAGTGAAGAACGCCGTATGGAAATGCAACCGAACACTCTGCAGTGAATCAGCTCATTAACCGTATGCGGAGGTTTGTTTACGATCTCATCACAGATAAATAATCAGATTCAGAGACAGATGGACGAGGGTATTGCAGAGGCTGTCTCGCACAGAAAAGTGTGCATGTTGCTCTGTTAGCAAGATGAATCTTTCATCTTCAAAATGTTTTAAATTACATCTCAGAGGACGCTGATGTATGATAAGAAAAAAAAAACTTTTAAAAAGTGTATTTACAGCTGTGGATGAAAGACGCCTGGAAAGAGCCAATCTTCAATTTCCAAATCAGAAACAGGTTTCCATGACATACACTATTGCCAAACAGACTATATCCTAAATGATTGACTAAGAAGTAACTCTTAATGCTGGACTTCCCCCCCGTGGCTTCTACAGTAGATGTTGGACCTGCATCAGAGCAGCAGTGAAACAGATGTCTAGCCTTGTGTGGCTGGGTATGAGGGACAGAATATGAGGCATAAAGGCTGTGATTATACATCTGAGTGACATATTTGTTTTGGGATGAGGTGTCCACTGACATAGAAGTAAAAATATTCAGGGTTCTGTGGCTTTTCTTTGTACCTGCTGCTCTTACAATATCTGAGCTGCTGCAGACGCTTTTTAAATATCAGTATATGTTTTTTGTTTTGCTACAGTCTCAGCTGTTTTTTTTACTTTTATTTTATAGGACAGTGAAGAGAGAGACAGGAAAGTGTGGGTAAAGAATGGGGGAAGGACTTGCAGCAAAGGGCCATGAGCGGGATTCGAACCCATGGCTGCTGCATCGGGGACTGTAGCCCCTGTACATGGGTCACCAGCTCAACTGGGTGAGCTATGGTGGCAGCCTTAGCTGTTTTTAAAAAATAAATAAACAAAAAAAAAAAAATCATTGTAACTGTTCAATTCTTTAAGGCAGTGCAGGATTACCGAGTGTTTCCTATAATTCGCTTAGAAGCAAATGAATCCTGCTCAAGATGGTCAAGAGCTTTTCAACGGGGCGTCTTCTTCCTGTAAACTTTGGACATTTCTCAAGACATTCACGAGTAGTTGCCGTGGAGACACGTACGTGAGTTAAATATTAGTGTCCTGCAACATCAGAACTGGTCACGACTGCAGTTGCCTCGGCGCTGTGTTGAAATCTTGGGGCAGGCCGATGTTGCCAATCTCAGCGATGTGCTCTCATTAATTTTGCAATGATAGCGAAGCCCATGACTCATCATTTATCCATGAGCTCACATGATCATGTTGAGGAGATGCGGACTAAAGCCTTGTAACAGTAACATTTCACACATCAGTCAGTTATTTTGATGTAGGCACTAAGATTCGGCTAACTGAGGCACAGTAAGCTTAACGCTGCTGCTCAGCTTGACTGGACTGAGCTCCAACGGTGTCTTTGTGTAACATTAGAAACTGCAGAACACTTTCCTTGGTTTAACTGTGTTTACTTCCAGTTTGTGACGAATGGTAGGCATTGCACAACCCTGCTTTCAAGCTTCAAGCATCACCTGTTTTCTATGGACTGAAATGGTCTGTACGGAGCTAACAGCACCTAAGCTCGTTAAGGGGGAAGTAATTTGAGAGGCGGTATTAGATGGAGTCATTACCAGTGTTGTTCAGCCCAAACAGTAAAGGGCAGGAGATGGCGAAAGAGAGGAACCACACCACAGCAATCATCACCGCCACCCTCCTCCTGGAGCTGTATCTGGTGTTGTAGAGCAGCGGCATGGCCACCGCCGTGTACCTGCAATAACACATACAGAAAACGTAAAGACGACACACGCTCACTCACCTGCATTTCCACATGAGTCTGCACACAAGTAAACTGATGCAACTTCAGACCGAACAGTCGTGCTCACACATATTTCAAAGCAAACGAGCCCAGACAAACAAATTCCCAGTTTCCCCCTCAAACAGACAAAAGCTGTCACTGCTTGTTTCACAGCCACAAGGACACAAAACACACAACTGTCAGCATGTCAGAACCAGTTAGAGCTGTCTGCTGTAAATGCAGGTGCCAACGGTCTTGAGAGAGCTGCTGTAATCCCAACTGCAGGCAGAGGGGTCACGGACTAAACCGCCAGAGAGTTGTTCAAAGAAATGAAGATCGGTTTTCAGTGCATACAGTTTCCAGGACGTCTTTGTTGTTTCAGGTTCTGTAATCCGCAGCATACAGTCTGAAGTTGTTGGAGCTGCACACTCCAGTCTTATAGAATAAAGTCCCTCAGGGATATGTCTGCAGTCAGTTTTAAAGTAGTCTGGTAGGAAAGAAGATGCAGATATTGTGAAGGACAATGAATTGTCTTTGGTCAGCATTTATAAATACATATTGTAGACTGTGTAGGTGTGCACGGCTACTTCTGGAGGACGAAGGGACAATATTGCATTTCACTGAATGCAGTCTTGGCATTAATTACATCATATTATTGTAAATTTATTTGAAATGTGTAAATCAAGGGAAAGCAAATGGCAGCATATGGTCAATTCAGAAAGAGATGTTGCTGCATCATCTCACTTTTTTTTTTTTAAGAGTTTACTTATTTGTTATGTTTTTAAGGCCCACAACTAAGACCTGTAAAATATTTTGGCTGAATTTTGAATATTTTCATCCTTTGTTAGCACAGTTGCCTCGCAGCAAGGTCGCTGGTTTGCGTCCCGGTTTGGACACCCGGGATCTTTCTGCGTGGAGTTTCCATGTTCTCCCTGTGCAGCGTGGGTTCTCTCTGGGTTCTCCAGCTTCCTCCCACAAGGTCCAAAAACATGTTGAGGTTAATTGGTGATTCTAAATTGTCCGTAGGTGTGAATGTGAGTGTGCTTGGTTGTCTGTCTCTAAGTGTAGCCCTGTGATAGACTGGTGACTTGTCCAGGGTGTCTCCTGCCTTCACACTGAGTCAGCTGGGATAGGCTCCAGCCCCCCATGACCCTAATGAGGATTAATCGGTGTATAGATAATGGATGGATGGATATTCAACAAACATATCCATATAAAGATTCACAATGGGACCTTTCAGTGAGGCAAAATAAGCCTCATAGGTTGTTATATTTCAACATGAAGGAAGTCGCATCGTTCTCGTATAATGACATCAGCTTCTCTCAACCTATAAATCACCATTTTGCCACGTGAAAAGAGCAAACAATTTGAACAGTACTCGCCACACAACAAACTGTACTGATGCTACAGGTGACAAACTTCGGTGATGTTCCCAAAAAAACTGTGTGTTTTTTAGTAAGTACTATGGATGCATCCATGTATATCAACTTACAGGAACTTTCTGGGGCAACTTCATTTGAGCTTTTTTTTTTTTTTTAAATTTTGAAATGTCAATAATTAAAAATGTGGTCTCTGCTGGAGCCTTTCAATAATTTGGATCTGCT